TCTCTCTCTCTCTCTCTCTCTCTCTCTCTCTCTCTCTCTCTCTCTCTCCCCCATAAACCATTTTCCCCAACTCTCACCCAGTTCTTGAATTCTTGTTCACATAGAAATCAATTCACAGGTTTGCACTTTAACACACACGAACATTCAATGTTTTGGGTTTGCTCTTCAAGAACAAGATGAAATTGATTGAGAAGTTGAAGACATATCTGGGGAAAAAAACGATTTCGAATCTGTCAAGATTTAACCACGTCGATCTCTCAAGATCCAATCTCGATAAGCCCTAATGCAATATGAAATCAATTTCGAATCTGAAATTGATTTTATGTGTGAAATCGAACCATGGATATCCTTTCTTTATCTTAGTTGGTTCGATTAATAGGTGTGTGTATGTGTTTTCGATCGCAGATCTCAATGATCCTCTATTTCTTATTTGATTTTGAACGAGAAGATGGGACAGAGATGGAAATTCGATGTCTCTTTCTTCTTTCTTTGTGAAATTGATAAGCAGGTCTCAAGTTGTCGGTATGAGATGATGATAGGGGCTGATTTCCTTAGGATTCAAGATGATGAGGAACAAACCTGTTTTTTTTTCTCTCTGTGTACACTTTGACGCGAAAAAGAAGAAGAACAAATGTTGTTAATCAATTGAGAGCTACACCCAGTTCTTGATTTTCAAGGTTTAGAAGCATAGAAGATTTGTTGCTTAGAATTCTACAAAAGTTGTACTTTGTGTATTAAAGATGTAGATATGAAGAAGACAAGCATGAATCTGGGGGATACGGGGTGGTTGAGAGAGAGAGAGAGAGAGAAAGACCCAAATTAATTATTTATTTTCTTTTTTCATTTAAATTAAATGGATATATATATATATATATATATATATGTATATATCAGAAGGGTATTATAGTCATTTCAATTTTACGATGGACTAAATCTACGTACAAATATGGCCAAAAGGACCACCAATCAAAAAAGTCGTAGTTTGGACTAAAACCCCAAAAAAATGCATACCACAGGGACCATTTTTACGGTTTTGTCTTATTTCAATTGGGACTTGGTAGTATGTAAAAAACATTAAACAAAAATAATACA